CATGTATCTCCAGCAATTTATACTAGAGCTGACATGTAGTGAGCACTTTTTGCTCACCTAAATAATTGCATGAATGAACAAATAAACAAATGAACTCTTATTCTTAGAACATTCAAAAGAGGCAGCACATCTCAGTTCATGCATCAATGGCCTCAACATGGATTTTGTTATTGGTCTTGTGATTTTGCTGAATGTATTAGTTTTTACAATTCTTTTTGCAGATTCCTTAGGATTTTCTATGTACACAATTACGTCATCTAGGGGTGAAAATAATTTACTTCTCCCTTTCCGATATCAATAGTTGATTACCAAGAGTTCATTCATTAGATTGCTATACAGTATACAAATCAACTTTTAGAAAAGTCCTTTAAATAGTTGGGAATTTCCCAAGGTTTCTATGTGAGGGTAATATCTAAGCTGCTGAAATGAGAAGACCTCAAATTAGAGCTGTCCAAATAAAATAAAGTTTTATTTGCTTTTATGCAACTCTCTTGACTAGTCCAGGGAAAAGGAGTGCCTGTGAGTTGCATAAAGGGTGCTATTCCCAGGCTGCCATCCTTGTCTGCATGATGAAGGCTGGCCTCTGAAGTCTGCCCTCCAGTGCAAGAACGGAGGAAAACAGGAAGTCCAGATGAAGTGATTTTCTGTTGGGAAAGTAGAGTGGACGCTACGCATATCTCTTCTATTCACATTTCGTAGGAGGAAATGCAGTCATCTGGTCACACATTACTGAGGAGGAAGCTGGGCAATGTAACCTCCCGCTGGGAAGCCAGAAAAAGAAAAGGATTGGGAGCAGTTATGAGGCTGCCACACCCTTCCAGAGCAAATGCAATAATTCTTTTCTTACCTCCTGGTCAGACTTCGGATCAACATTCAGAGAAAAAGCCACAAGCCAACATTCAAAGAAAAAGCCACAACCCTTTCCAGTATGTGAAAATGCCATGAACAGAACATACAGAGGTAGTCCCCAAATCCTGGTCACTGTTCCATGTGAGAGAAGAAGAGTTATTCGACATCTAGAGTACTCTAACAGCATTGTGAGCAAAATGAGGGCAATAAAGAGCAAACTGCAACTGCATCTGTGGTTTTCTCCTGGCATGCTTCAGTTTTTCCTAGGCTGCTGCTGGAAGAAAATGAAACACATCAAAGATGTGGAAAGATGGAGAGAAGCCACTAGGTACAGACACACTGGTTACAGGGCAAAGTGACGGCTAATGGCAGGGATGGAGACAGCACACCAAGGAGAAGGCACAACAGTCTGGGGTAATTTAATGCAGAGCAAATATCCCTAAGCACACTTGAGTGTTCTCTGAAGGCAACACTGTGTTGCTGCCAAGCACAGAAATGGACATCTGTGAGAAGGAACGGTGTGAAGGTCATCTCTAGAAGATGAATATCGGCTCTAATATTATTTATGTCCTCTCCATCTCTCCTCACTCCATTTCCCCATCTCCCCCACCAAAAACCAATTCTAGGATACTTTCTGTTCCAATTAAATGAGATTTAAGTGGCTGTTAAAAAAATACCTTTAATGAGAAAAGACATCTCAAAGGGGGTACCTACAGCTAATGGGATGATTGCTATGTGATCAATAAGGAAGGTTAAATGGCCCAATAGTCAAAGAATGATGCATTTAGTCTACATTATAAAGATATATTTAGTAGATAAAATTAAAATGCCTCCATGCCTTAAAGGCAAAACTTTACTTACCCAAATAGCCTCATTACCCAATAGAATTATCCAAATCAGGTATTTATAAGTTGGACTTCATGAACTTCACATTTAATAAACATTTTCATTCTTTTCCATACTTTATTATGCGGAGAAAATATGTTTGATGAAAATAAGAGTGTGTTAATGGGTATCGTTAAAGTTATTAATGGTCACAACTGTGTGTGTGTGTCTTTGTCAGTTTTCCAACTTTAGGATAGAACCTAGACTTCAGAACAAGTGTTAATAGAGCAGGTTTTTCAGTCATTTTAAGAATGTCATTTGCCATTATTATAAGAATTTGTCCAAAGAAGAAAAGTGGTAGCACAGATAGTTCTAAAAGGCAATAATCAGAAAGTAGTTTATTTTTTTAAAGAATATGTGTCTCTGTGTATATATATCTAATATTCTTGGTATTCCCAGAATTTTGAAAAACTAACAAGGAAACACTGTAAAGGTCTGACTTGAAATATTTATAAAACTTCTAGCTCCCTTCCCCCTCTTGATCTCAGTAAAGCTAGCAGAGAACTTGGTTCAGTTCTAGCCAACAGGACCTTTTGTATATCTACTCTGTAATGGTTAGTGATTTTAAGGAGCAGAAAGTATCTTCAGCCAGTGTCAGCCTCAAAAGGGGAGTCTGCCAGAAAGATACACAGCAAGGAGGCATCTGGGGGTCAGGAACATGGAGTAACCAAGACTAGAAAGCTCTCAGAGCTCTTTCATTTGCATCTCTTGATTCTTAAGAGTTTTCTCCGCTTCTTCAGCTCATGGACAGAAGTTTACATGTTACAGGCCTACGTAGACAAACTTATCATCTTCGAATCACAGTTCCAAATTTCCAGGGTAGAAAAACATATTGGCGCAATTTATTTCAGGTTTCTACTCCTCATCCTACCAGCTATGTTTGTTGGGGCAAAATCACATGTGTAAAAGTGGCTTAAGGGGAAATACCCATCGAGATGGAGAGGTAGTTCCCAGAGGAAGGAGGTAAACAGTCTCTACGTTGTCCTTTTACATTATATATTTAGCACAAAATAAGCATTGTGGGAACAAAAGAGATACTTGTATTAGAACCCCGTCTTAACAAAACTCACAATCTCATAAACCCACCTATACCCATGAAGGAATAAAAGTTAGCACTATGGGTAAATACTGAGTGATGGCTTTACTCAAAAGAGGTTGATTATAGTAGAAATATGAGGAAATTTAAATGAAGAGACATGGGTTCAAATCTTGACTCTGGCTTCTACTCCTTGTGCATCCTCCATGGGTCACAGAGTTTTCATTTGTGGGTCTTCATTTTATTTGTAAAATGTGGAGGATTATATTTAACTCAAAGGCATCTTGTGATCCTTCAAGGCAGTCCCTACCAAATACCTAGCACACAGCGGAATACCACAGTTTGGTTCAGTGTGTTTAACATGACCTCAGAGAAACACTGGACTACGTGTTGGCAACAGAGGTAAGGCATCGGCGTTGGTTGTCCTTGGGGAAACTGCAGTCTGTGGAAGTGAGATTGTGGGGTGTGGGGTGGTTGCAAAGGAGACAGATGAACAGAGTATTGCAGTGAAGGATAGTACATTTGTTGACTATGATTCTCAATGTGGTTCAGCTTAATCTGGGACAGTTTCAGAGAGGTACTAGGACACAAGCTCAGCCTTATGGAGGTAGATAGGATTTTAACAGGAACATTCCATATCAAACTGAGGTAAAGCCTTGAGCAGAGCTGACTTAGCTCCACAAGATGGTAGTTCACATTTTCTGCAGTAAGGAAGCTAAATTAGTAATTTAAAAGGCCTTTTTCCAAACACTGCCATCCTTAAATAAAGGGGCTAAAGGAGATAGCTACAGTGGTTTTTTGTTGTTTTTATTGTTTTTAATATAATTTATTGTCAAGTTGGCAACCATACAGTGTATATAGTGTGCTCTTGGTTTTGGAGGTAGATTCCCGTGATTCATGGCTTACATACAACACCCAGTGCTCATCCCAACGAGTACCCTCCTCAGTGTCCATCAACCATTTTCCCCTCTCTCCCCCACCCTGTTTGTTCTCTGTATTTAAGAATCTCTTATGCTGCAGTTTTGAAGCATGTTTTTACATGGTGAAGGAAGCTAGAAAATCCACCCTTGTAGACCATCCACCTAGAGGTAATTAAGAGCCGATTTTCGAGCTCGGTGAAAATGAAAATACTCAAGAAAAGAAATGTACATTTGATTTAATAGCGTAAGTTAAGAAAAGTTGTGCCACAAGCTCACAGTAGAGAAGTTTCAAAATCACTCTTTGCTAGACTTAACTGGGGGGGGGAGGGGAGGAGAAAGAAGTGATATCCACATTTGACTCTTTTGAATCTGTTGCTAGTCAAAAGTTGCCAGAACTATTTACCATCTCAGAACAATTTGTTCACTTCACTCAGAAATTAAAAGTGTGTTTTGGCCAATAATCCTAAATTTATTTTGTAGTAGTCATTTTTCTTAATGGAAGTGTTTTCCAGATGTTGCCTAAGTCTAGCTGTCTGGGCCCTCTTCCAACTAATGAGGAAAGTTTGATTTCATAGCGTTGTCACTGTTGATTCTGTCTAACCTTTGGACTAATTGGTTCATTCCAATATATTTGCACTGATATATAAGACTTCCAGGACATTGGAAAAACTCATTATTGCTTTTACGGGTAAGTGTCAAAGTTAACTCGCTTTGTGGAATTAAATGTGTTTTCAATTCAGCAGGGCTATGCTTTATTAAAGGAGTTTGAGAACAATTTTTAAGGACAGGAGTAGGAAAGTTTTGAAAAGAATCTCAGGTATGCAATGCACCTGTTGGAAGCTTACAAATTTATATGGACAGTTAAGGGAGAGTTGGAAAGATCACTCCTGTTTGTTAAATTAAATTTTACTGAAGCTCGTTATTTTTTCTCCCCAAGCTGGGATTTAAACCTTGCACTGTAAGTATATGCTATAATTTAAATAGGGGCTTGACATAAGGCTGTTTTCCATTTGGGGGAATTCTGAAGTATTAACATGGACTATAACATGATTGAGATGGTGACTCACTGATTTTTTCTGCATCAGATTAACTCTAATGGTGACATATTTACAATAGCCTTAAGGCTGGTTATCTTTAAAAGTCTTGTTTCAAGAGTGGGGTGGTTTTATCATGAAATCAAATTTTAAAAGTTACTGAAACACTGTAAGTAACATGGGCTTAAATTAGTGGTGAGAATAAAGAGCAGTTTTCTGATGTTTTTCTTTTCTTTTCTTTTCTTTTCAGTGAGGTCTCAGTACCTGGAAACAGACATGGAGTGGAAAATACTTCCCATGTACTTACTGCTGCTTTCTGTTTTCTTGATTCAGCAAGTTTCTTCTCAAGGTATCATAACCATCAAAAAGACTTATTTAACAACTGTAGCTAATCGTTCCGTTTTGACTAGTATGACAACAAAAGAAATAGATATCTAAAAACATACATTTGTTTGAGTTTAATCTATAGTATAATTTATATAAAGCATATGTAACATATTTCTAAGCATTTTGGAATTCTTACTTCTTCTCATGTCTTAGAAAACCTTTCAAGTTTGGAGCTTTTCTATAGACTAATTTTTGTACTTGTTTTTATGGTGATTCCAAGAGTAAAAAAAAAACAAAACCCACAGACACAGGAAAAAACTGTGCTAGTGTGATAGAGTATCATCGGATGAACTGAAAAGAACAATGTTTAAATGGCATGTAACTTTTGTTTACGTGTTTACAATAAATGTAATGAGTCTTTTACATCAAATAAATTTTTGATAACTTATTTTGGCATCATGTAGAACTAGGTATCATGGTACAGTGAGCATTGACTGTGATTTTAAATGGCCTTGGATTAATCTAGAAAGTGCTCTGTCCAGGAATGGACTTGTACTTGTGTGAATGTCATCTTGTACTATAATATTGAACTATTCACAGTCCTCTAAAAACAATCAGTCCTGGATGAAGATTTACATGCATGTCATTTTCATGCAGAGAACGTTCAGATATATCCAATGTAATCACCTTAGCAAAAGTCTCTAGGATGTGATCAAAATTGTTTAATGACAATAATACCAAACACTGGATTTTCCTTTCCTTTTTTTTTTTTTTTTTTAATAAGCAAAACCTGAGAGAAGAAAAATCAAGGTGCATGATTGTTATGGTGAAATTACATTTATAAAATAGACATTTCCAGGAAAGTAGTTAAAATTCTCATAAACTTAAGGGTGAGAGATAACTGCCTGCCATGGACATAGTTTCAGAATCACTTAGATAAGATGGAAAAACACATGGAATCAAATGTGAACATTTAAAAAGGCATCATGGTCCCTACGCTCTCCAGACTCCCCTGCTATCTCGTGATCACATTATAAGGCTCACAACACTGAGAGCGTTCCCTAACCTACCTTTCCTCTGGAATAAGATCAATTGTTTTCCAAAAACAGTTTTACTTTCCTTTAAATGAATGAATTTAAAATTAGCGTTAAAATAACAGTGGTAATAGTAGAATAATAATTTAGTCTATGAAAATAAACTTTTACTATAAAGATAATTGATTTCCTTATTCAGACATCTGCTAACTAGGAAAGAATAGACTTTAATGTTGTGCTGTCTGCTTTTCTCGCCTTCTCAACTTATTCTCTTTTTCCCTTATATATAATATATGTATTTATATACATACACTATATATGCATTTTTGTATGTATTGTGCACAAATGTACGCAAAAGGTCGTGAAAATTGTCCTAATATTAACTATTTTCTTTGCATGTGAAGACTTTCAGTTTCCTGGAGTCATTATTTTGAGATTTTTTCAGTGTGTTTCAACGTCTCTCTATGGATTTAGGACATTGCACCTGCCAATTTCTATTCCAGAGACAGATTAGATTGTTGCATTTTCGTGGTTATCTCTCAGGAAGGTGTTTTCCAAATGATTTTTAAAAATATATATGAGGATAGCTATGCTTTTGTTTGCATTTTTGTTTTGTTTCACCTAGAATAACTGTGACCTTTATATTCATGCCCAGATGCTATTTGAACAGTTATTTATTTTGTATTCTCTGTAGCTGTGGTTGTAAACATCTCACTTCCTCAACATTTAAAGAACTGGTTATCCTCACCAATAAAAGGAGAAGGAAGCCTAGGGAAGTTTTTGCTAGCCTAACCAGCTTGTTTTAAACTCAACATGAGGGAAGAGAGGCAATGTGATTGGGTGGGAAAATGTCAGCTTTAGATTCAGATATATCAGAGTTCAAATTGTAGCTGACCATCTAACTTATTATCCAAATCAGGATACTTCGGAGAGTGAAAGGGGCCAATGTGAATAATTTATAGGTAATATATATTTATTATAAGTATTATAGGTAACTAAAGGTAATACATATTTATTAGAGGTATTATAGGTAATACAATTTATCTGTAATACATATATCCTGGAACCATTAACTAGCTGGGTATCCTTGAGCTCGTTATTAAAATCTCTGTGTTTCAGCGGTTTTATCTCCCAAAGGGGGCTACTCATACTCTCCTGGTAGCATTTTCATAAACATTAGAGATAACATATGACTGAGTGCCCCACACAGAGATACTGAGATGCTCAGTAAATGTCAACTAGTCATCATTTTAGCGGCAGCCTCGCTCTCCCCCGACCCCTCTACTGCCAGAATATCAAAATTAATGAAAGGCCATTAACTTTGCCTGGTTTTCGGAAGTGTATTTATCTTCTCAGTCTGGTGAAGAATGAAGTGGCATGATCAAGGTAACCTAAGACATAAGGCAAAGATCACCTGGACCCATTGCCAATCATCATTCCCAACCTTTTAATTGATAAAATTCTCCCTGACCAAACGGCTCTGTCCTCATTAGACGTCTTCCTTTCTGTAAAGTGGTTTGGCCATGTTCACCCTAGTATTGTATAATTTTAGATTTACCAAGCTGTGCAGGGAGATGTGGGGAAGGGTATTCTAGAGATGCCATCTGCAACTGTGATTATAACTGTCAACACTACATGGAGTGCTGCCCTGATTTCAAGAAAGTCTGCACTGTGGGTAAGTCCTGACAGCCAGTATCTCCCCTGTCAAGCAACACTGTTCTGTGAGTCCCCGTGCAGCCCCTTCCAGCCCCTTCCATGCTGTTTCCACACTACTGCACTTCTTTTTGCTTAAATGCCTTTCCCTTCCTTGCATAAATGTTGCAGTGTGCTGTACCTAAGGATGGTGTCAAAGCTTGTGACTCTTGGGGAAGGGTGGAGGAGGGGCACTTGGAACTCTGTCAGGTGTATAAGGTTATTGACTAGTCCCAAGTAAAAGATCTTGTTTTAAATAGAGAATACTGTGACTCAGGAGTCCTTAAGTAAGTACTAATTAGTAATATTCACTTACCAACCAGAGATATAACTGCTTAGTGATGGGGTCCTTCAAAAGCTTCATCAAAAGAATCTATGGATATAAAATAGTCTTATCTACTGTTTGACTTTTTGATATGAATATGTTTCTAAATTATATGAAAAAATCACTTTAAGTACAAAGCATTAGTATCTAATGAGGAATTTCAGTTAAAACCCAAAGGGTATGAATTTTAAATGATGAATGGTATTTCACTTGATGCATTTTAGCTCATTTTGGTAACACAGGGGCATTTCACATCCAACTTATGAAAATTATAATTAAAAGTGGTTCAAAGTTATGTTTACTTTAGAATTTGTACGTAAAGTTGATGAATACATTGCTGTACAGGTATGTGTTGTTGAAGGTTATAATTTCAAATAGGCTTTGGTAAAGTTATTGTGCCTCTAACCATGGCTTATTTTGAAATGAGTAGGTATAATCCATGTCATGGGATTAGGCTGAAATCTTTCAATGCTACATGTTGCTCAGTTTGTCATAATAAAATCTCTGTGTCATAAATGATTTTTGAGCCTAACAGTGACCCATCTATAGTAAGCCAGCTCTTTGGAATATTATTGTAGGATCTGAATGTTAATTTAATAAATATCTATTACAAATCCATGGTGTGAGGTGAAGAGGATGGGGGGATTTCATATGAAGGGTTCCCACTTTTCCATTGTCCATACGTGAAATGACTCAGACAGCACTGGGGTGTCTCTTAAAGTCTTGAGAGGCAAGAGAAGCTTCTCTGAGGCACCATATTTCTTTCTTGACTTCTCCACTTAGAAAACCATGTCTTTTCCAAATTCCAAATAAGAGACTCAGAAATGCACTTTGGGAACTTGAGATAGCTATAAGGTGGGAAATGGCTATCGGTACATGGGTGTGGCTGCATCATCAATAATCTATAATGTTTCGTTTTGCTCTGGATAGAGCTTTCCTGTAAAGGCCGCTGCTTCGAGTCCTTTGCAAGAGGGAGGGAGTGTGACTGTGACTCGGAATGTAAGAAGTATGGCAAGTGCTGTTCCGATTATGAGGAGTTTTGTGGAAAAGGTAAGCATCATGGTACCAATCAGCGCCTCTCAGAACAGCCAAATCTATGCACCTATTTTAGCTTTGCTGATAATGTCCAATACGCACTCCATCTAAGGACCTGGTTTTACTAACACAAGCCATTTCATATTGATTTGCTTCATCAGTATGACTTAATGATGGAAAGCCTCTTCCAACAGCACTTCCTGGCTCCACCAGTCTCCAGGAGTGCCCAGAGATCAGTGGTTGAGGAATAGAGAAGATAGGGGCCGAGTGTGCATACTTTTCCTCAGGTGTGGTTCCATTTCAGGTGAAATTAACAGTAACCACCTCACTCCAAGATTTCTTGTCTCATCCTAATGGCGTTGACCCCACAAAGTCAGTCGTCCTTTGAGTTAGCTGTGCTTTTGGCTTCAGAGTTTTTGAGTGTATGTTGAAGGACAAAATGACACCTTCAGCCTCTAAAAACTAGTACAACTAGGGGTTTGATTAAAGACACTACATTTATAGGCACACCTACCAAGAATTTGTTATTTGTCTGTTGTATGTCCCCTTCCATCTCTGGAGTCCATGGTTGTCTCTATCTAAATCCCTGTGTGTGATAGTCAATAAAAAGGGATAGAGTTCCATTTTAAAATCCTCTTCTCTGGTTACATGTCCTGGAGAGGTAATCTGAGAGTATAATAAACCTCTTCAAATTTTCCAAAGCAATTTAAAAAATACTTAAATAATGAATTCCTTTCTTTACCAAATGTTTATTCTTAAGTTCTACTTTGTTGAAACAACAACATTTGTGGAGGTAAAAGTGAAAATAAGCATTGCTTGCGTAATCTTATCATTTTATTTAAACAAGACTGTACGTCCTGCTTCTTTTGAACGGTGGAGAAATAGCATAAAAAAATGTTAATCAGCATAGTTGATGGATATTTCTTAACTGTCAATGTTTTCATTGGAAAGCAGTCCAAAAAAGATGGAGACAACACCCACATAATCAAAAATTCAGAGTGTAGGGTTCCTGAAGCTTTCAGAAGGACCCATGATAAAGGATACATGTTTACTAATTGCCCTGATAATGGTTTTGGATGTGAGACAAAAAACGTACGAATTTATTTTGGGTGGAAGGTGAGTGGGAAGGGATGTCGGGTAGTGATGAGTGTTGAAAAAACATGTTGAAGACCATGCTTTATGCTACTAGGTGCTGGGTCAGATTACCTGAGGTCTAAGTAGAACTCAACAACAACAAAATTGATAAAGGCCATGCTTCAGTTACAGAATTCACAGATAGTCAGGGTCTCATCTGAAAATAATGGAACCACCCAGAGATTGAATATTTCATTTTTTTGCAGATAACAACCAAACTGTCTTATGACACACCTTAGTTGTTTTGGGATTGCTATAGATACAGCTGGTAGGCGTCTATACATCTCAAAATCATAGCCTTTCAAGAACTGAAGAAATGTGGGTGAGAAAACAGTCCAAGAAGTTCTTTGGATTCCAACAAGCTAGTACATGGCAGAGCTGTTTCTCCAAGTGAGCTGTTTGGGGGAAGACAGAGGAAGGTGTGTGGCCAACAGCTCTTGGGAGACTGCATAGGCAAGAGTTCCGGGATGTGTAGTCAGAGTAGCAGGATTTATCTCAGCTCCCTCTCCCCAAAGCATCTCCACTGTTCTCCGCTTTCCTATCTTTCAGAAGTCCCTCTCCTTTTCTTCTAGTTCCTAATGATCAAAACATATCCCTTGTCTTCTCTTCTAGAAACAGAAAGGGTAGGAGGATGGATAAGAAAAGGTTTCAAAAATACATACCAAACCGTTAACAGTTGTTTAACTTGGGGAAGGGCGACACATTTTAAGAAAAGCATAATGTGAAGGTGTGAACTTTTTTTAATTTGATTTAATTTTTTTTTTTTACAAATAGTTTATTGTCAAATTAGTTTCCACATAACACCCAGTGCTCATCCCCACAAGTGCCCTCCTCCATGCCCATCCCTCCTCCCCCCCACATCCATCAGTCCTCAGTTTTTGTCAGCAGTCAAGAGTCTCTCATGGTTTGCCTCTCTCCCTTTCCGCCACCATTTCCCCCCTTCTTCTCCCCCTTGTTCCTCCGTCAAGTTCCTCCTAATCCTCCTATACATGCAAACATATGATATTTGAAGGTGTGAACTTTTTACAAGACTAAATATTCACGCACATCTTTTATAATTAGAAAGAAGAAAAGTGGATTGGCATCATTTTATTTAAATGAATATGAAAACAGGACAAATGTACTTACTATATTTCTCTTCTCAAGAGCACAAATACCTGTCAGTCACATGCAGTAATTATTTCTACCATCATAGAAGATTGGCATAAGGAAAGGGGTTGATTGAGTCATTTATTTTTATTTTTTCCTTGAGAGAGAGAGAAATATTGGGAGAATCTTAAGCAGGCTCCATGCTCAGTGTGGAGCCTGATGCACGGCTTGATCCTATGACCCTGGGATCATGCTCTGAGTTAAACCCAAGAGTCAGACATTCAACTGACTGAGCCATCTAGGTGCAGGGAAATACTTTCAGAAATTATCTATAATAAATATCTCAATTTGCAGACCAGAAAACAAAATTCAAGAAAGGTTAGCTCATTTGCGCAAGGTCACAAGGGTAGAGCCTTGCAGGGCTACGACTGGAATTCAGGTTTTCTGACTCCTGAGCCTTTGCCCCTGATCATAACGTATAACAATTTGAGAACCTGTATTTTATAGCAATGTGTCCTCAGAATGAATCACTTTGCAGTAATTAGTGTTAGGCTAAGAGCCTGCCTACACTGGTTTTCACAAGTCTTTATTCTTGAAGCCAGATGCATCTGTGCCTTTCACAGTTAAGAGTTGATGATGAATGTCAACAAGATGTTAACTGACTTGTCTTGCTTGGCCTCAGTGCATAATCCCCCATCACCATCTTCAAAGACTGCACCTCCACCTCCAGGAGCATCTCAAACCATCAAATCAACAACCAAACGTTCACCCAAATCACCAAACAAGAAGAAGACTAAGAAAGTTATAGAATCAGAGGAAATAACAGAAGGTAGGAAGATGGCAGATGTAAAAAAAGGTTTTGAGATGGACTAAGCTGTAGGTGAACTACTTTGAAAAGACTCTTTATAGAATAAGGGAATCATATGAATTATGAAAGGCTCATTACACTTTTTTAAAAAAATGTGTTTTAAGTCAAAGTTTAACCCAAATTATAAACCCTCAGATATTTATTTCTCTTACAACTGACCCCAGCATGGGTGTAGGTTACAGTAATCAGAAGACAAATCTCATTGGGAAAAAAAGACCAGATCTTCTGCAGAATAATTAGCTTCTGTGAGATATGAGGAAAGTGAGAGAAGGTAATATATATTACTAGTATCTGTAATAAGCTTAGCTACCTTGCTTTTATTTTATTTTATTTATTGATTTTTTTGAGACTTCTGAAATACATTCTTAACACCGGTAAGAAGCATTCCCACCTCCTGGGCTCCAGGGCTGTGAGAAAGCTGTAGTCCGCACCAGCTAGTCCCCCAAAACCTGCGAGACTCTGGACCAGCTACCTTGCTTTTAGCTGACAAATTTAAAAAGCAGTTGATTATATTACTGATAAATTAAAAAGCAGAACACGGACATTTGTAGATTAGTCAAAAGCGCTTCTTGTTGTATTTGGACTGGCATTTTTTTGCTTTAAATTGCAGTTGGTGTGATCAACCTTTTTATTTGATTTATAGAACATTCTGTTTCTGAAAATCAAGAGTCTTCTTCCTCCTCTTCCTCTTCCTCTTCAACTATTCGGAAAGTCAAGTCTTCCAAAAATTCAGCTGCTAATAAAGAATTAAAGAAGAATCCCAAAGGTTTGAGCATTGATAAAGATCAAAGACTATATCAATGCCGTATTAAAAAATAATTATCTAAAAGCAATGCGTGTTGATAGAATGGTTTGAGGACATTTCAATACTTGGGGCATGTATAGATTTGTAAAAATTATTTTAGAAGACACTAATGAGAACATCCTATAGGACACTAGTGCAAAGCAGCTAAGAAAGCACTCTTAAAGCAAAGGATAAGAAGATGCTATAGCAGCAGCTCTGGAAACACAGGATGGCACTGGAGATGATTATTTATGGTTTTTATTTTAATTCCTGTCTACTTGATACCATTTTTCTTTCTTATCTTTCTTCATCTATGTTCCTTGTGTTTTTATTTTTCCTTATTTTATTTTGCAATCATTTATATGCTGCTTTAAGTGTGTGTTTTAAAACCTTAATCCATTAAAGCCTCATACACATCTCTGGGAAAGGCAATATAATTATCCACATTTTACAGCTTCTTTTTATTATTTTTATAATAAATTATATGTCATATCTGGCTGATTTTTTTTTTTTTTGCAGTAGAGACTGTCCCACAGAGTAGGCTATTACCTCCTAAAAAAAGATTCCTTTTGTTCTTTTTTTTTGTTATTTCCTGAAATAAACATATTCTCTTTCTCCAGGAAATACTGAATTTTGGATACTGGAGTTTTGAAGAACTCTATTTCCTGGGTGGTTGTTATTTCTCCTGAAGCCTTTACTCTGGCAGAATAGCTAAATAGTCTTTTTGAATCATCCAGAGTCTTCCACACAAGTGCAATACATGTTGGCTAAGTGGAACCCATCTCAGTGATGAGCTCTTGATGTGCTCTTTGAGCTCTGAAATTCATCTATGGGGGAGCTGCTAGAATCCTGCTCAACAGAGCCTTTGGCTGCCATGGCATCCTAATCCCCTCTCTGAATCCCCTGGGCTGATGAGTTTAGGCGGGCAGAGGGAAGAGAGCAGCTAACAGCCATGTGTATGGAAACAGACCTTAGTAGGGGCCACTGGGGTGATTGGAACAGGTTCCTGGGGTATAGTTGTAGAGTCTTCTGAGGCCAATTAGTACAGTGAATTGTTAAGATGTTGGAACTATGTTTCCAAGAGGAAGAGTGGGCACTAAGCAGTGTGGAGTGGAGGAAGTGAGAGGCAAAGAACATTAATATAAAAAGAGATGAATTCGTGTAGTTGATCATGTTGGTGATTTCAAAGTTGCCGCTTGTTTCTATATGTTAATTGTATAGAGTTTTACTTGTACTTTTCACCCCTTCTCATCAATTCCCTAAAACAGCCCAATCAGATAAGTTCATCATTTCCCATTTTACAACAAATTAATAGACATATTACAGGTTAGCAACTTGTCCACAGATAAGGCAGTTGATCAGCTATCAACATAGCTAGTTGACAAGAATGAGCTCTTTAGGTCACTATTAAAAAGAAAACTATTCAAAAATTTAAAATGTGTATTTTTTTTCCTAGTAAAAGAGAACAAGAAGGAAAGAACTACTAAAAAGAAACCTACCCCTGAACCACCAGTAGATGAAGATGGAAGCGGACTGGACGATGGTGATGTCAAGCTCACCCCAACTCCTCACATTCCTACCACCCAAAGCAATAGAGTTACCGCATCTCCCAAGATTACAACAATCAAACCAATAAATCCTAAACCCAGTCTTCCACCTAATTCTGATGCATCTAAAGAGACATCTTCAACAACCAGTAAGGAGACAGCAGTTGAAACTAAAGAGACTTCCTTAACAAATAAACAGACTTCAGGTAGAGACAAAGAGAAGACTGCTTCAGCTAAAGAGACACGAAGTACAGAGAAAGTATCTGCTAAAGATTTTGTACCCACATCCAAAGCTCCTGCTAAACCTACAGCCAAAGCTGAAACTACAACCAAATCCCCTACTCCTACCACCACCAAGAAACCTGTTCCCACTACCCCCAAGAAGCCTGCTCCCACCACCCCCAAGGAGCCTACACCCACTACCCCCAAGAAGCCTGCTCCCACCACCCCCAAGGAGCCTACACCCACTACCCCCAAGAAGCCTGCTCCCACCACTCCCAAGGAGCCTACACCCATGGTCCCCACGGATACTGCTCCCACCACCCCCAAGAAGCCTGCTCCCACCACTCCTAAGGAGCCTGAACCCACTACCACCAAAAAGCCTACACCCATGGACCCCACAGAGCCTGTACCCACCACTCCAAAGGAGCTTGCACCCTCTACCCCCAAGGAACCTGCACCCACGGCCCCCAAGGAGCCTGCACCTACGACTCCCAAGGAACCTGCATCCACGGCCCCCAAGGAGCCTGCATCTACGACCCCCAAGGAACCTACACCGACCACTCCCAAGGAACCTGCACCCATGGCCCCCACGGAGCCTTCACCCACCACTCCCAAGGAGCCTGCACCCACAGCCCCCAAGGAGACTGCACCTACGACCCCCAAGGAACCTACACCAACCACTCCCAAGGAACTTGCACCCACGGCCCCCAAGGAGCCTGCACCTACAACCCCCAAGGTGCCTGCACCCACAGCCCAGAAGGAACCTGAACCCATGGCCCCCACAGAGCCTTCACCCACCACTCCCAAGGAGCCTGCACCCACGGCCCCCAAGGAGCCTGCACCTACGACCCCCAAGGAACCTACACCGACCACTCCCAAGGAACCTGCACCCACGGCCCCTAAGGAGCCTGCACCTACGACCCCCAAGGTGCCTGCACCCACAGCCCCGAAGGAACCTGAACCCATGGCCCCCACAGAGCCTTCACCCACCACTCCCAAGGAGCCTGCATCCACGGCCCCCAAGGAGCCTGCACCCACAGCCCCGAAGGAACCTGAACCCATGGCCCCCACAGAGCCTTCACCCACCACTCCCAAGGAGCCTTCACCCACCACTCCCAAGGAGCCTGCATCCACGGCCCCCAAGGAGCCTGCACCCACAGCCCCGAAGGAACCTGAACCCATGGCCCCCACAGAGCTTTCACCCACCACTCCCAAGGAGCCTTCACCCACCACTCCCAAGGAGCCTGCACCCACGGCCCCCAAGGAGCCTGCACCTACGACCCCCAAGGAACCTGCACCCATGGCCCCCACAGAGCCTTCACCCACCACTCCCAAGGAGCCTGCACCCACGGCCCCCACAGAGCCTTCACCCACCGTCCCTAAGGAGATTGCACCCATGGCTCCCAAGGAGCCTGTACCCACCACTCCCAAAGAACCTGTACCCATGGGCCCCAAGGAGCCTGTACCCACTACCACCAATGAGCCTGTACCCACCACTCCCAAGGAGCCTGCACCCACGGCCCCCAAGGTGCCTGCACCCATGGCCCCCAAGGAGCCTGCACCCACGGCCCCCAAGGTGCCTGCACCCATGGCCCCCAAGGAGCCTGCACCCATGGCCCCCAAGGAGCCTGTACCTACCACTCCCAATGAGCCTGCACCTACCATTCCCAAGGAGCCTGCACTCACTGTTCCCAAGAAGCCTGAACCCATAGCCCCCAAGGAACCTGCTCCCAGCATTCCTAAGGAGCTGGCACCCACAGGCCCCAAGGAGCCTGCACCCACCACCACCAAGGAACCCATCCCCGAACTCCCCAAGGAGCCCACTCAAGCTTCTTTTGAGACAGCTGCTCCATCCAACTCAGAGGGCTCTACGACAACCACCATGGAGCCTCCCACTACTCCCAAGAACCCTGCTAAATCAACTCCTGAGTTTGCAGCAGAACCCACACCAAAGGCTCTTGAAAACCATCCCAAAGAACCTGTTATACCTGTAACCAAGGCTCCTGGAGTGACCAAACCCGAAATGGCTACAACAGCTACAGACAAAACAACAGAAAAAGACATACCTATGACACCTGGAATTACAGCTGCTGTACCTACAGCAACTCCAACAGAAGAAAAGACCTCTGAGTCCAAAACAGGAACAGCCGCACAAGTAACATCGGCCACATCGTCTAAAAGTACTCCTCAAGCAACAACCCTTGCACCCAAAGTAAGGACTACAACAAAAAAGACAACTACATCTGAAGAGACTGTGAACAAACCCGAAGAAACCACGGCTGCGCCGAAAGATAGAGCTTCTAATCCTAAAGTGTCAACTCCTAAACCCAAAAAGCCAACCAAAGCCCCCAAAAAACCCACTTCCACCAAAAAGCCAAACACGATACCTAAACGGAGAAAACCAAAGACTACACCAACTCCCCCGAAGATGACTACAGTGACAGTGCCCAAATTACACCCTACCTCTTCCACAAAAGCCATACTCCCAACTACCACCAGCCCCAACCAAACACCTAACTCAGAAATAGTTGAAGTAAGTCCAAATAAGGATGCAGATGCTGCAGGAGAAAAACCTCACATGATCCCCAGGCCCCCTGTGTTAACTCCTATATTTATCCCAGGAACTGATATCTTAGTGAGAGGATCCAATCAAGACATTGCCATCAACTCCATGCTTTCAGGTAACAAGCATCAGTTACTCTGTTTTAAAATCGGTAATGTTAACTTAATTTTAACTGGGCCAGATGCCAAGTTGGTATCACTCTATTGAAGTGTATTATCTAGAACCCTGAACTTGTTAACTTGTGGTTTTACAGCTTCTCCGTAGGTAAGCAGAGGGGTAATCACAGTAAGGTTATTTGGTCTTTGGAAAATCATGCAATAACCTTGTGTGCTAGGAATTTAGTGTATCTGTGTCTATATGCAGGGACGGTATATAGAATGTCAAAAATATTTCATTGGGAGTGCTTACCCTTAAGAGTACAACACAAAGCAAAGACCTGCAATATTATTCCTTTCCAAACCAATTATAAAGGGCAATCAACTGAAAAATGGACTTTCATGTTGGGATCAAACATCCTGTAATTACTTAATACATGCAGATCATGGGTAACCTGGCTTATTCCAGTTCGTTATTTTTATATACTACTTTTTGAATAGTGATCACCTTTAAGTAAACAGTTATGAAATATATCTCTTCTTTTTCATTTCCAAACTACACGCACCTCCCACAAAGCCCCTCCAAAGGCTTAGGAAAAGCTGACCACAGGAAACAACCCTGTGGGAAGATTTGAACGGAACATGAACACTTCTCGAATTTTCTTTGATCTTGGCTTAAGTTTTTATTTGTTTTAGATGAGACTAATTTATGCAACGGTAAGCCAGTAGATGGACTGACTACTTTGCGCAATGGAACATTAGTTGTATTTCGAGGTGAGCTATGCACATATTTCTTTTTCTGCTCTTCACTTCATTCTTGGTATGTGTGAGAACCAAAGGAGAGTGGAAGTTTGGGTTAAGCTTTCTGGAGGGAGGGAAACGGATTGAAGAACTTACACAGTATTATGAGAACCTGAGAGTAATTACCAAACTAAATTAGACATATTGGGAGAGTCAAACAAAACAAAGAGCTTAAACAGATAACTACTAAGATTTTTCGTTCCGTTAGAATTGGAAGGTTAATTCAGATTTTGATTTCCTATTAAATGAAATTGCATCAGGATTTGTATTACCTGCTCTATTTTACTTGACAATAACATCTTGACTGCAATGCTTCCTACAGTGCTACATTGTGAGTGCAACACAACAGCAGCTACTTACTGTTAATTCTCTGCTGTACCATCTTCTAGTCCAGTCCTCTTATATTTTAATTAAATCTGAATGGAAACAAATCATAGACTAGCACAGTAGAGATTTTAGCAGTCATTGAACTGTAACTCCTTAATTCTAAAAGGTAAAGAAATGGAGAGAGAGGTGCCTTTCTGTTAAGTCACAAAGCCAGAAGTTTCTAGAGAAACTGGAAAACTAAAATATTTCAAAGGCTTGAACTTCAGACCTGAGAAATCTCTCAGAAATGTTTAAATACTAACTTATATACTCGTCCTTATAGTATTGACTAAACCTGTCATATAATGCTTGTTAACACATTCTATGTTTTTATGATAAACTATTTAAAAATTTTTTCATTTTGGTTTCTTTTGGGATTCATTTAGCTTGGAGGCTGATATATCACTTTCAATCTTAGGTCATTATTTCTGGATGCTAAGTCCATTCAATCCACCATCTCCACCTCGTAAAATTACTGAAGTTTGGGGTATTCCCTCCCCCATTGATACTGTTTTTACAAGATGCAACTGTGAAGGAAAAACTTTCTTCTTTAAGGTAAGAAAAGTATCTTTTTGAGAGAAATCAGCAACTAGCTATTATTATAAAAGCATAAATCCACTTCAGAAGGGTCTTCGTATTTTATTAAGCTATTCTATCATCAAATTTTAATTTGAAAAGTTAACAATTTGATAACACTACAGGCCAATTTATCCACTTAATGAAGTTAAAACCTTCTCGCTATATTTAAATCCAAGAATGAATCCCCAACCTTTTTACTTCAAAGCTGTTAACATCATTTCCTCTGTTAAATTATCAGGATTCTCAGTACTGGCGTTTCACCAATGACATAAAAGATGCAGGGTATCCCAAACAAATTGTAAAAGGATTTGGAGGACTAAATGGAAAAATAGTGGCGGCTCTCTCCATAGCTAAATACAAGGAAAGACCTGAATCTGTGTATTTTTTCAAGAGAGGTATGTGTTACATAATTGCCAAGATTACAAAGCTTTTAGGAGTTGATTTGTCTGGGAAATTTTTTTTCAATATTTTCATTTATTACTGGGTTTACTGTTGTAAGATCTTTAATGGTTGGAATCAGGTATTTTCAATGAAAAATTGAGGACAACGGAAAGTATTCAGAGCCCTCAGCATGCAAATTACAATTTCATTTGAATGTCTAGGTCCTTACTGTGTCATCATTTACTTTCAAACAAAGCTAAATATATAATTATACAATTTGTTGGGTTTTATTCATTCAGCAACTATTTCAGGAATCAGTAATTATTTTATAATACTCTTGGAATAATAGTCATTAATGTCTGGACATATTTTATGAAAGACCTTAATCATTTCCTCTACCTTATAAAAGCTCTTTTCCACCTTTTTGGAGGATTAAACTTAATTTTCATTATTAAATGTGGTTTTCTAATACATAATAGGTGGTGGCGTTCAGCAGTATATTTATAAACAGGAACCTGCCAGAAAGTGCACCGGAAGAAGGCCTGCTATCAATTATTCAGTGTACGGAGAAGCGACACAGGTTAGGAGACGTCGCTTTGAACGCGCCATAGGACCTGCCCAAACACACACCATCAGAATTCACTACTCACCCATCAGGGTCTCTTATCCAGACAAAGGTAATGTTTCTCACTGTTACAAATTCTTGCACATGAAACAGATGTAATACAGCTTCTTAGAGAATGAAATTTATTGAATGTAGTGACTAAATAGCTCTCATAATTTAAATCTTACTGATGCAAAACATCAATCTGCCTCAGTGGAGGACCAGACCAATAACTTTTTTGTGTGTGAGTAAAGAAACCTGTTTATTCAGGTTTGTTTGTTGTAATTAATACCATTTATCAAGTACTTATCAAGAACATTACATACAAATCCGTAAACCTCAGAAGACTCCTATAATGTAGGTATTTGTACCATGTCAGAGGGGGCAAAAACTGAGGCACTTAAGTTAAATAACTCAAAGTAGTGCTAAGTGACCAAAATGGGATTCAAATCCAGGTCTGTCTGACTCTAACTGGCTGCTCTCTCCTATAGTACATTGCTTTTCAATCTGGTATCTTTAAATCTACAGGTTTCCTCCATAATGAAGTTAAAATGAGTTTACAGTGGAGAGGATTTCCAAAAGTGGTTACTTCAGCTATAGCACTGCCCAACATCAGAAAACCTGATGGCTATGATTATTACGCCTTTTCTAAGGGTAAGTTATTAAGTAAAATCTTAATACCTTCTTAAAGACGTGTTCTAATCTCTGAAATAAGAATATAATTAAAGCAAAAACACCAAGTATTCAATGGTGACTAAAGGTGAGAAGTCAAACTATACTTAATCTAATTGCTCTGAAGAAGAGAAGGTTTAGATTTTCACTTTATTTTCAATTGAACTGAATGGGCTACAATTCAATTCTGTACTATCCTTCATGAGATTAAAGCCTAGTATATAAAACATCCAATTACTTGAGTAAAACTGCTACTAAAAACAGTGTTTCCTTCTATTGCCTGTGGTATTTAATGGAGGTCTCATGTGCCACAATATATTAGTGATTTGCATCATTACACAGTCCTGAATTCAGATCAAAGAAGTTGAGAAACTAACTTTATTAATTTTATTACATTACCTGGGGTACTTTTCTTAGAAGAATTTGGAAATCTAAATTATTCTACCTATATACATGATGTCAAAAAATGTTTTTAGAGAATAAAACAAATGAATTACTTTTTAAACTTAGTTTTTCTCAAATTCTCACTTTGAAAAAGGAGAGTGGAACCTAACTTTATGGAAAGATGGTGAAAGGTCAGTCTGGGAAAGCAACTGCTGCTGTTTTTGTCAGAAAGTTCAAATTAAATCAATCTAAACATTTCTGATATTAAATTGACAAACATTGTCTCTGAATGTAATAATCAACAAAAGCTATTTTTAGTTCAGGTGTTGTTTTCTTTTTAATTAAAAAAGGATTTCTCTTCTATTTAGATCAATACTATAACATCGATGAACCAAGTAGAACAGCAAGAGTCATTACTACACGTTCTGGGCGGACCTTGTCCAATGTCTGGTACAACTGTCCTTAGACCCATGAGCAAAAGAAGAATCAACTAATTAAAATGAAGAAAAAATGAAAAATTCTGACACTGAAACACATTTTATTAATAAAGAATGTTGAGAGAAGCATACCGATTTAAATACAAAAATGTTTTTAATCTTGACAACCATTACACTAAAACAGGCTTGGACAATCTTATTCACAATTATTACAGTTTACAGGACATTTAATTAATATTTCCTCTATTTATTCCTCCTCTCCCTCCCATTGCATGGCTCACACCTATAAGAGAAAAAAATAACCAAACTGAATGCATCTTTTAAGAAGTTAGCTCAAAACTGGAGTATTCACTTACCTAACTAGGTCATTATAAAAATTGTTTTCAATATCAAATATCTAGATATATAAATATAAAACTCTGTTAGACATTTCACATCTTCAGTGAAAATAAGTACAATTAGATTAATATTTTCATGACACGAATACAACCTCTAATGGTTACATTAGAAAACAGATATTAAAAATTCTAATTCTTTTAACTAAACAGAGTCACAAAGCTTTGTTCTGCTGTATAAGAAGTATAACAATAGACAAAGATGTAATAAATGACTATCTAGTACTCTAACACTTTGGCTTCTCCAAGTCTTACTTTGAATTCAAGGAAGAAATGAATAAATATCAATTCTAAGAACATATTCATTATATATCTACAGTTTACAAGTCTTTCTGTAAGAAGCTTACAGATTAGTAAACATCACATGCTCAACGTGTAATAATTTAATCAATCCTTGAACATAAAAAAAAACCCTAGATACAGTTGGAAGTTTAAGGATCAGAAAACTTGTTCCATGTATTACTATCATACATCCTATCATGTAATCAATATGTCAGAAATTTACCTCTCTGTCTGTTAAACTGACGACCACGGACTCCTTGTCTCAATGTTGTCTGAAGTCTTACTCGTCTGAAAGGCTTTGGTTGACTACTGCTAGTGTCTAAGAAAAAAACACGCACACGTTAAAATTTAAGAAAGCAGGTTACAAAATGCATTTATAATGATAAAATCTAGTTACCAAATGCATGGATAAATGCAGGTGTCCATTTGTTTAATATTTAAAAGTTGTTTGATTTTTAACAAGGGACATTTAACAAACAAAGGGTAAAATGTTAAAAAAAAACTCTTATTTTTAAAAAGGGTACTTGAGGTTTTTCATAATTCACTGCACTCATTTAATAAATATTCACCTAGTGCCTATCCAGGTATCACTGTGCTAGAAGGTGGGAACTACAATAAAAAACCACATTATCACCTCCCTCAAGAAATAACAACCCCTACAATATAATGTGATCCTTATTTGAATCCTCTTGTTTCCAGACACTCCAGATGCAATCATTAGCAAACCTTGCCAGCTCAAATTTAAATATATATCCCCAAATCTGACCTCTTCTCATAAATTAAACTCTACTAGCCTAAAACATCACTGCCTTTACCTTGAAACAGTAAGATATCCTTTGAATTTTCACCTTCTTTCTGCCCATTACACATTTTCAGGTCTCTTATTTACACAGCAGAAAAACTGATACTGTTAAGTCTTTAAGTCAGATCTATTACTACTCTCTTCGAAGCCCTCTAAAAGCTTCCTAAATCCAGGGGACTTGGGTGGCTCAGGTGGGTTAAGCATCTGACTCTTGATCTCGCCTCAGGTCATCGCACAGTTTGTGAGATCGAGCCCCATGTTGGGCTGCACACTGACAGCACAGAGCCTGCTTGGGATTCTCTCTTTGCCCCTGCCCCACTTATGTGCATGTACATGCACGACATACACACACTCTCTCTCTCAAGATAAATAAATGAACTTAAAAAAAATAAAAGCTTCCTAAATTTATGAAAGCCAAAGCAATTACAGTGATCTATGGGCCTTTCCCCTTACCACCCCCTTCTGTCTCCCACTAGTTTCTCTCTGGTCTTACTGTGGTCTTGGCCTCCAGGCTGACCTTAAATATACCACACTGCTGTCTTAGGGGCTCTGCACCTGCTGTATCTCTCATCTGAAACATGCTTTCCCCCAAAAACTGCACAGCTCTGCTCCCTTACCCTTTCCAGGTCTTTACTGTAATGTCATTTTTCTAGTAATGCTTTCTATTGCTTAGTACATGGTAGGCAATCAAATATTTACTGACCAAATGAACAATTGCTCAGATGAGGTGGCTTAAGTGTTTTATATTACCAAAAAACGTCGACATCTTAATTTCATAGTATACTGTAAAAGGGAACAAAACCGTATTCTCTTATGCAAGCCCTGGTGAGATATAACTAGTGCCCACTCTACAGATGAAGAGAATTCTCATGGGACATTAGCACTTTAGTAACTCTGTTATTAATAATTAAGATCATTATGATACTTGAGCTTTGAATGTAATGCACTGAGTTATATAATTTATAGACATTTCTAATTTGATAATTACAACTACCCATATTTTATAATAAAAGAAAGGTGCACACATTTAAAGCTACTAGCTGTAACAAGGCAGATGTGAGATGTGAGCCTAGGGATGTTGGTTCATAGGTTGATGTGTCAGAGAAAAGCACTGAGAAAAGCAGGAGAAGAGATCTCGAGATAGTAAAGCCCCATGACTGAAAAAAGTAATAACTGAGCAGGTCTTCCACAGAACATGGTTCCGTAGCAGAACTTGAAAATTACTGCTATAGGGGCGCCTGGGTGGCTTAGTCGGTTAAGCATCCAACTTTCGCTTAGGTCATGATCTCGCGGTTCGTGGGTTCGAGCCCCGCGTCGGGCTCTGTGCTGTCAGCTCAGAGCCTGGAGCCTGTTTCAGTTTGTGACTCCCTCTCTCTCTGACCCTCCCCTGCTCACGCTGTCTCTCTCTCTCTCTCTCTCCTAGAAATAAAAAAAAACATTAAAAAAAAAAAAAAAAGAAAATTACTGCTATAAACAATTCAAAATAAAAATAATCAGAGTGGATGATGGGTAAGTTCTTCAATAATAAAAGTAATTCCTTACCTAAAAACTTTGAGACAGATAAGCTAGTGTAGTGTATTGTTTTAAAAGTGGGGTCCCTGAAGCCAAACTTCTTGAGTTTGCATCCTGGCTTGTCCATTATTTATTAGCTATATACTATGGCTACATTATTCAACATTTCTGTGCCTCAGTTTTCATATGAGTGATTACTATGTTGGTTTGATGTGAGAATTAAATGAATATATGTAAAGGGCTTAGAATATGGCCTGATACACAGTAAGTGCTTAATAAATGTTCACTACTTTTTTAAAAATGCCAGATAGTTTTTACTGTAGGAAAGATACATAATAATCACCTTTTTCAAAGTTAACCTCACGTACTTGAAAAGAAAGCCAAACTTTGAACTTATATACATCAGTAAATTTCAAATATTTTTTGAGCAACACACCTCCTACCCTTCAACTCTCCAAATCCAACCTCATGTCAGAACCCCCAAATGTAGCAAAAATAACATGAAGTGGCTTTGGCTTCAAGAGGCAGGAGATGGGAAGTAAGGCATTTTAAATCCAGGAAAAAAAAGAATTACCAATTTGTTGTTGATAAAATCGTGTTTTGCCAACAAGTCTGATGGATCGAGGTTGTGCAGTCGTCAAGAGCAGGACCTTACCTACAGAAGAACTGGAAGGAGGATCCTGGCTGGTGGAAGGAAGATCTGACTCATCAGATGCCTGCACAGGTTCTTCTTCCTGCTGGCTATCAATTTCCAAGCCTGCCTCTGAACTAATACTAAGAAAAGAAAATAAAAATTGATTAGAAAATACAAAACTTAACTTCGAGGTATCTGAAATCATTGCCAACCTCTTTTTGATACAGTTTATCACTTAAATAACCTCAAGGTCCCCTCTAACTCAAGGCTGTAGACTCTGACATTGATAACGGTTTGTTTTGTTAAAGGGGCAGTGGAAAAGAGAGCTCAAGTGGCTTTTTCCTTCTTTCTCTCTCACTAGGACATGTTCCAAATTTAGTTTCTGCTTCCCTTGTCATTTTTTTTGACAAAGGATGTTCACATTCTTGACATTCATAAGAGATATATTATCTAGATTTTGAAATCTCAAAACAAGTTTCTAGGAAAGCAGAGTACTGACGTAATTTGTAAGTCACAATTATTAATAACTAATTCACTATGGGCTCTAGCCTAGATGAGACACGCTGTGGGTATGTGATTTCTTGGCTCAGTCCCTGTAATTTCACCACTCTCTCTCCCACTCAGAAAAGCACATCAAAACACATGGAAGTGAGGTAACAGTCCACAGTGCTTAGAATCTACTCCAGTATTATCTTCAAGCTTTAGTACAGTCATTAGTAATAATGTATCTGAAAGATCTCTCTCATAACTACCTGCTTAAGTTGAGAAGTGCTAACGAAGTGTAAAGCACATGGGGCTAAAGGGGTCAAATCCAGTCTAAGCCAGTTACCAGTGGCCTAAGCAAGTTATTTTAACATATTCTGAGTCTGGGCTTTCTCACTGTAAATTGGAGATAATACTTTGCAGAGATTTTGTGTGGGTCAGAAATGACATATACAAAGTGACTTATATACATGGTATGAAATTAATGACAGCTAGGATTCTCAGCAAGGTGTGTAACCTCCCCAAAATTAAGCAGCACTGTGTTAGAGCATAATAACAGGCCTGCTTTTTCTCTCATATGCTAGAATTGGCCTATAATTATGCTATGAAAATATTGATAAGTAAAACAAAATCTTTGAACTCTACCTACGAAGTTTGGGTGCTAGTTCTAGCTATGCTTCTGACTATGAAGTAGTCGAACTTCTTTATTTTATAAAGAATTAGGTTCTGCCTTGAAAGTTAAAAACTTTTCCAAGACCATAGTCCAGGGGTTCTTTGCATTAAATTACTCTACTCCCTCTGGGGTGCCTGGGTGGCTCAGTTGGTTAAGCATCTATCAAGTCATGATCTCATGGTTCAGGAGTTTGAGCTCCGCATTGGGCTGTGTGCTAACAGCTCAGAGCCTAGAGCCTAATTTGGATTTTGTGTTTCCCTCTCTTCTCTCCCTGCCCCTCCTCTGCT